GCCTAATAAGCCAAGTTTTCATGAATTAATTGTTTTTTGACTACCTAACCTACCTAACCTAACCTAACCTAACTTTTTCGGCTACCTAACCTAACCTAACCTATAAAGATAGGTTAGGTTAGGTTAGGTAGGGTTGGTTAGGTTCGGTCATATATCTACGTTAATTTTAACTCCAATAAAAAAAAATTGACCTCATACATAATGAAATGGGTAGCTTTATCATTTCATAAGAAAAAAATTAGAGAAAATATATTAATTCAGGAAAACTTGGCTTATTAGGCAAATCGGGCCTTGCATAGTAGGCTGAAAAGTGAGTTCTGGCTACTAGGTATATATATATATATATATATATATATATATATATATATATATATATATATATATATATATATATATATATATATATATATATATATATATATATATATATATATATATATATATATAACTAAAAACTCACACCCCAGAAGTGACTCGAACCCATACTGCCAGGAGCAACGCAACTCGTATGTACAGGACGCCTTAACCCTTAAAGTGTGCATCACGTCATATGACGTGTTGGAAGTTGTTCCAGTCAACTGCACATCACGTCATATGACGTGTTGGAGTACTACGCAAGATTTAAATGGCCAGCGGATACACGGGGTTCACCACACCTTCATCAGGGCTCTTGTAAACAGACGCCATTTTTTTTTTAAATCGTGGGCCAAACTCCCGGGTGTTATTGGCCTCAGTATTGAGTGAGCTACCAAGCCTGAGCTAACGCACGCAGCATGAGCTAACAGCACTGCTGTTCAGCTTGTGACCACAGCATCGCCTAAAAATGCCATAATATATTTGTCCATGCTATTATGTAGCGATGATATTATTACAGAAGACCCCTGACTGATAAAACTGACCAGGGTTCTGTTAATAGCAGGATTGTGGTGATATTTAGTGCTGTGCGCCATGGAGGGAGGAGTAATGCTTTGGGAGGGAGGGTGATGGCGATGTCTTCTGACTGTGTGTGGCCACCTTTTATTGACTGCACTCACCATACCAGCTTAGTGGTTCGCTATGGTGAACACAAATGTAGATACTTATATATAACATGTGTATAGAGGATATAAACAGCAAGAGGAGAAGGTTGGGAGCCGCCATTTTGGCTAGGGCGGTGGCGTCGTCTGCACGACGCCACCGAGCAGACGACAGTGTTGTTTACTGATTACCACGATAGTCTTTGGGCACCATACCAGTTTACTTGTACAAGTATGGTGAATAAAACAGGTAGATATTTATATATAATGTGTGTATATAGCATAATAACACCACAAACAGTATTGTTGAAGGAGAAATATTAGTGCGTCTGGCCTTGAGGGCGGCAGCCATCAGCTGATTGTGTGAGGTCCTACGTCTTTGTGCCTTTACTCATCATACAAGCTTAGATGTACAGTTATGGTGAACAAAACATGTAAATACTTATATATATATAACGTCTGTATATAAAAGCAAAAACAGTATGGTGGGTGGAGAATGGTGGCAAGTCAGGTGAGGTGAGGGAGGGAGGGAGTGGCAGCCAGTGGTGGGCTGCCACTGCCTGTCACTGCCACTGCTACTCAGCATACCAACTTAGTGGCTCGTTATGGTGAACACGAATGTAGATACTTATATATAGCGTCTGTATATGGTGAATAAAAGCAAAAACAGTATTGTGGGAGGAGAATGTGGGTGAGTCAGGTGACTTGAGGGAGGGAGGGAGGGAGGAAGCCTCACAGTCTCTGTGGTGTAGTGGTAAGACACTCGCCTGGCGTTCCGCGAGCGCTATGTCATGGGTTTGTATCCTGGCTGGGGAGGATTTACTGGGCGCAATTCCTTAACTGTAGCCTCTGTTTAACGCAACAGTAAAATGTGTACTTGGATGAAAAAAACGATTCTTCGCGGCGAGGACCGTATTCCAGGGACCTGTCCGAAACGCTACGCGTACTAGTGGCTGTACAAAAATGTAACAACTCTTGTATATATCTCAAAAAAAAAAAAAAAAGTAGCAACCAGTGGCGGGCTGCCACTGGCACTCAGCATGTCAACTTAGTGGTTCGTTATGGTGAACACGAATGTAGATACTTATATATAACGTCTGTATATAGTGAATAAAAGCAAAAACAGTATTGTGGGAGGAGAATGTGGGTGAGTCAGATGACTTGAGGGAGGGCGTGAGTGGCTGGCTGGTACACGGCAGTCACTCCTCGTTACTTTTTTATTCATAATAGCTACTTAGTGGTTCGTTATGGTGAACAAAACATGCAGATACTTATATATAACCTGTGTTTATAGTGTAATAACCGACAAAGTATTTGTTTACTGATTGATGAACATAATTGAATCAACAATATTCACACCATATTTTTGAGTACAGCGATGATTCACTCATTTTATTATATAAATATATCAAACTACACACTATTGAATAATATTACAGCAAAAAAACTATGAAAAATCAATCAGAGACATTGAAATAATTAGGTAATTATCTCTTTGTGGTAACTCCAGCCTGACAGCTGGCGATCAACAGACCGCCTGGGACGCACGCTGAGTCAGCGCCTATTTTTTGTCAGACTTCCCTGCCCTATAGCGGGCAATATATGCCACTTACAATTTTTGTATTATTTTTCCCGTGATCAGTGAACATAAATTAAGAGGTTAGGAAGCAAAAATAATTTTTTTTTTTTCAAAATTACATGTGCCTGTGGGGAAGAAAGGATATTATACCCCTAGCATGTTAAGGGTTAATCCGCTTGACCATCACGACCAGACATAAGGAAGTGATAGCCGAAGCTATTTGAACCACTTCCCCGCCGGCACTCGGATGGTAATCTTGGGCTTAGCATTTTATCAAATCACCTCATTCTTTGGGGCACACGTGAGGAACACAAAGCGAACAAGCCTGAATGGTCCCCAGGACTATATGCAACTGAAAACTCACACCCCAGAAGTGACTCGAACCTATAAGTTCGAGTGTGATATATATATATATATATATATATATATATATATATATATATATATATATATTATTAAATATGACCGAAAAAGTAAGATTAATAATTCTAACACGAATTTTCTCAATCTTTCGTACATTACGCTTCACTGTTGGAGGTAAATCAAAAATCACTTCTCCAAAATTCATTTTTATTTCTAGTCTGACGCGACACGGGCGCGTTTCGTAAAACTTATTACATTTTCAAAGACTTCACAAATACACAACTGATTAGAACTTACGTATCTCTGATTTTATATCTACATTTGAGTGAGGTGGGAGGGGTGATGTGGCATTAACACAAGACAGAACAAGAGGGGATATTAATAGGGTATTAAAAGTATCAACACAAGACAGAACAGAAACAATGGGTATTGAATAGAAGTGTTTGTAGAAAGCCTATTGGTCCATATTTCTTGATGCTTCTATATTGGAGCGGAGTCTTGAGGTGGGTAGAATATAGTTGTGCAATAATTGGCTGTTGATTGCTGGTGTTGACTTCTTGATGTGTAGTGCCTCGCAAACGTCAAGCCGCCTGCTATCGCTGTATCTATCGATGATTTCTGTGTTGTTTACTAGGATTTCTCTGGCGATGGTTTGGTTATGGGAAGAGATTATATGTTCCTTAATGGAGCCCTGTTGCTTATGCATCGTTAAACGCCTAGAAAGAGATGTTGTCTTGCCTATATACTGGGTTTTTTGGAGCTTACAGTCACCAAGTGGGCATTTGAAGGCATAGACGACGTTAGTCTCTTTTAAAGCGTTCTGTTTTGTGTCTGGTGAGTTTCTCATGAGTAGGCTGGCCGTTTTTCTGGTCTTATAGTAAATCGTCAGTTGTATCCTCTGATTTTTGTCTGTAGGGATAACGTTTCTATCTGTTAATAGAAACGTTATCCCTACAGACAAAAATCAGAGGATACAACTGACGATTTACTATAAAACCAGAAAAACGGCCAGCCTACTCATGAGAAACTCTCCAGACACAAAACAGAACGCTTTAAAAGAGACTAACGTCGTCTATGCCTTCAAATGCCCACTTGGGGACTGTAAGCTCCAAAAAACCCAGTATATAGGCAAGACAACAACATCTCTTTCTAGGCGTTTAACGATGCATAAGCAACAGGGCTCCATTAAGGAACATATAATCTCTTCCCATAACAAAACCATCGCCAGAGAAATCCTAGTAAACAACACAGAAATCATCGATAGATACAGCGATAGCAGGCGGCTTGACGTTTGCGAGGCACTACACATCAAGAAGTCAACACCAGCAATCAACAGCCAATTATTGCACAACTATATTCTACCCACCTCAAGACTCCGCTCCAATATAGAAGCATCAAGAAATATGGACCAATAGGCTTTCTACAAACACTTCTATTCAATACCCATTGTTTCTGTTCTGTCTTGTGTTGATACTTTTAATACCCTATTAATATCCCCTCTTGTTCTGTCTTGTGTTAATGCCACATCACCCCTCCCACCTCACTCAAATGTAGATATAAAATCAGAGATACGTAAGTTCTAATCAGTTGTGTATTTGTGAAGTCTTTGAAAATGTAATAAGTTTTACGAAACGCGCCCGTGTCGCGTCAGACTAGAAATAAAAATGAATTTTGGAGAAGTGATTTTTGATTTACCTCCAACAGTGAAGCGTAATGTACGAAAGATTGAGAAAATTCGTGTTAGAATTATTAATCTTACTTTTTCGGTCATATTTAATAATATATGTCTACAGGAAAGACTGCTACCAAAATATACTAATATATATATATATATATATATATATATATATATATATATATATATATATATATATATATATATATATATATATATATATATGATACTTATATATATATATATATATATATATATATATATATATATATATATATATATATATATATATATATATATATATTGCTAAAATATTCCACCAAACATGAAAATAAATTTTAAAAGTATATGAATATATAAAGGATACAGTTACCACAGATAAAAAGAATGATGAAGTAGACACAGGCAATGATGCCAGGAGTTGCTACTCCACCATAGGCACGAATTCCATCATACATCACAACATTCCAGTCCTCACCCGTCAAGATCTGTTCAGAAAAATAATGATCAGTTGCTTATCCCATATATCAGTGCTAAATAATATTGGTGAGATATATGTCACAGTGAATTATTATTTCAGGTGATGTTGTAAGCACAAATTACAATGGAAGACATCTACTTAGGATGGTGGTCATGAATCATGGTGATCCCTATTAAGGACGATGGTTGTGTGTTGTAGTGATCACTACTGGGAATAGTGGATTTGTATCATGGTGATCACTACCGAGAATAGTGGTTGTGTATCGTGATCCCTGCTAAAGAGAGTGATCATGCATTGTGGTGATCCCTTACTGACGATAGTGGTCATGAATTTTGGTGATCACTACCAAGGATAATGTTCATGAATCATAGTGATCACTACTGAGGATAGTGATCATGAATCATGGATCACTGCAGTGGTCAAGAATTATGATGAGTACTGCTGAGGAAAGTGGTCGTGAATCTAAGAAACCTTTTTTGGAAAGTTGTCAATAAGCAAAAAATCCAAATTCTAATCTACTGCTCATTTCCCCCACTGAATTCCATTATGCATACAGCACCTCATTCAAATGAAAACTACTGTGCTGCAATGAAGATCAAACCCCAGCTGGTCTATCCAAAATTCATTTACATCTGCCATTTGCTCAATGAACAAACTGGGGTCACTCTTGTTCTATGTTAATAAGTATTACAGTTCACAGAGGTTTTTGTCACTTCACTATTTATTGCAAAATATTTACAGGTAGTCGTTAGGGCGGGAACCCCATGCAGTAGCCTGCCAAGCAAAATACTGTTTGTGGTAGTACTGTACAGTCCGGTTTGTTCTCAACTTCCAATTGAGAATTTCAGGTTTGAATCCTGGGCAGACAGATATGGTTGGGCACGTTTTCCTATCACCTAATGCACATGTTCACTTCACAGTAAATAGGTACTCAGGAGTTAGTCAACTTGTTGTAGAGTTACATTCTTAGGAGGATCAAAAATTCAACTTTGGGGGAACCTTGATATAAGTCAACATGTATATATACACCCTGGCTGCCTGTCATCCGACACAATTAATTATTATTAATCATAATAACTATGCCTTAGGTAGATGCATTACGCCTCCAAGACCCCCCTTGCCAACCAGAAGCTGGCTCACTCTATAATGAAAGGAGAGCTTGGAGATCAGATATATACTGTATACCAAAAACCAAGAAAACCCTCAATCAAAAAACGTAAGTGCAACAAAACAACCAGTTGTTTAAAAGAAAATTTGGGTCTCAAAGGTAATCAGCAAAAGTTTGTTGACATGATGTACACACACCAGTCATGTTGTGCCTTGCTACTACCAGGTGGCAGCTGAAGTCACCTGAGGCTCTAGCCAGCTAGCTCCCACATTTATTCACCTGATCAAGCTTACAGTGCCCATCTCTTCTAACAAGGTCTGCTTACCACCAATTCTGGGCAAGCACTAAGAGAACCTGCACAGCAGAGCCACCAGGCAAGCAGGTAGAATTTCAAGCACCTGGGATAGAGCCGCCAACCCTGTCCAGTTGTCCAAGAAACCTGGCTCCTGTTCATGCCAAAAACCAGACTTGGGACCACAAATTACAGTTGAAAACCTGACTTTGTGGTTGAAAGAAAGTACTCATTACTACAAAAATCTATAAAACCTTCCCTGTTGGAAAGAACAGTGATGATAAGAGGGTTGTGAATAGAAAAGGAGCGAACAGGGTTGAGAAGAGGAGAGAATGGCATCGATAATAGGAGGGGAAGAGAAGTGCATTTCAAATAGGAGACAGAATGGGGTTGCAATTTGGAGATAAATAATGAGGTTGCAAATAAGAGAAAAGAGAAAGGAGGTAAAAAATAAGAGGAGGAAGAAAATGGAGTAGCAAAGAGGAGGGAAGAGATTGGGGTAGTAAATAAGAGGGAAAATAACAGGCTAGTAAATAGGAGAGGAGAGAAGATGGTAGCAAATAGGGAGACTAGCACTGAACAGCAAGGGAGAGAACAAAGGGGGACGGGGAGCAAGAAAATAGAAGGGGAAAGAACTGGGTAGCAAACAGGAGGGAAGAAAACAAGATAGTAAATAAGGAAGGGAAAGAACCAGGTAGTATATATAAGGGGAGAGAACAGGGTAGCAAATAAGAGAGAAGGTAACCAAGCCAACAATTAAAAAAAATCTAAAATGGAAAGCTTTTAGACACAGCCACATGGATTACGGTGCATTACTGCATCCTGCAGTAGCAGTAAAAAACTTCAGAATTGCATTCATGACTGAACCAGCAAGCAGTAAGACCAAGGAATGCCTAGACAAGGACCCAAGATTAACTCATAACTGTTGAGAGAATATCTTCAACACTGAACATTAAGTTAAGTGGAAGAGGATATGAATTTCAAAGATTTTGAATCTAGTTCAGATGCAAATTCCCAATTTCATAGCAGGTATCCAAGCAAGTTCTGTCAAATCAAATTTGGGAAAACAAAAAACACAGGAACCTGTGCAGGGAAGGAGGAGCTAGGGAAAGATTTTACAGGACCTGAACCAGGACATGGAAAAACTCCAGTAGGAAAATGGAGGAGACCAGCTCAAACTAGAATAGTGGATATAAAACACATCCATTCTGAGCATCAAATCGAAGCCTATAATCTCTTCCAATCCCTATTTGCACCTTCCCCCTCCCCCACAAAGAGCCTTGGGATCTGGTTGAAGGAATAGACAAGGCATTAACTAGGAAGCCCCTGAAAACTGGTAAACCATGCCTTTTGGCACATGCCAAGAATACACAGTAGAAGGGAAAGTGCAAGTAGGCTCCACAGCCTCTGTCAAATACTTTGAAGCAGGCAGCTCCTGAAGCCACTTTTAGCAATGCCAACTCTTATGCCTATAGTTTTGCAACTCATGGCAACTCAGGCTCCTAAATCAATGGTAGAAGCTAAGAAGCCAACCAAGCTGAAGTTGGCTGAACTGGCTGCTCAACAATTGAAGATAATGTAAAAAAGGCTGATGGAAACTTGACATAAGTGTTAAAGATAAGAACGTTAACCACTGAGCTGCGCTAACCAAGAAAACTTGGTCGGTGGGAAACTGCGCCAACCGAGAAAATGCCTTTAGAATATTTCGTACCTATTCAAAACACATGCGTGGTAGGTTGTGTACGAAATGGACTCTTGGGGACTTCCAGTGAGAGGCAGCCATCTTGGAAAAAATTCCCAGAATATCCTAAGGCTGCTGGCTGGCTTAGTTCTGAGTGAGCAACCATGGGTGGCGCACATGCCTCTGGCTCCTAAACACCTGTCTGATGTGGTGTTAAAAGATCGCTCTCTGTCGGTGAAATTCTGACCTTATTGTTTGAAGAACGTAAGGGTCATAATATTGATGAAGCTAGGCACAATAAGGACCTAACACAAAGGTCGGATGCAAGTGATACATCATCGATGAGGATGATTTAGTGAGCGTATCTAGTTGTAGCTTTGAGTGCCATTTTTGCCCACCCATGCCATCTCCAATTTTTATAGCTGATACATAGATGAATCATTTTCTGGGTTCAGTGATGATACATCTGATACAAGTAGCATAGATGAACAGTGTTAGTGGCTTTCATGGTGGTGTTTTCCATAAATATTTTCATGAATAGCTGAATCTCTTCCCAACTGACAGACACTCTTGAGGCTAGCTGAATCTCATGCAGAATGGCTAAATCTCTTCCTGATTGACTGAATATCTTCCAGAATGACTGAATCTCATCCAATGAGGGACCTTACAAAGTGATCTTTTTCAAGATTACCTTACAAATTGATCTTTTTCTATAATCTTTTCGGGATTACCTTACATTTCACAAGCTTGGCTACATACCACCTACTGGTATTAAAGCCAAGGGTGTACATGAGTGCGTTATTTGCAAGCACACAGAACGAAGAAACAGGAAGCGAAAATCTATCTGTACCTGGTGCAACGAGAGCAAAGTCGCATTGTGAACCATGGACTGCTTCGTTGATTATCACTCACTTCCGAAGTACTGAGTGTGTAATACAGTGTGTTACCATATAAATAGTATGTGACACTGTACATATTGTAATTTTAGTGATATTTTAACAAGTAATATTGCGACAATAAACATTTATTGTGGACACATTACTGACACGTGTATCACAGTTCCATGGACCATTATGAATGCTCTACTGTATACATATTGTAAAGGATACAAATATGCATCATATACAATAAAAAAAACGCATTGGAAATACATAGAACAAATAATTGAAAATATATTTATGGCAACTTTCAGTGCTTGAATGGCACTCATAAATGCCTCTGTAAGCTTCATGCACTGGCAACCAGTCCGTGACGACCCCTTCTCCATGTCCCCACAGCCAAAGTGTAATTTTTTTTTTCATGTACGTGTGCAGGGAAGGGAATTATTTTACAAAGATAAAAAATAATTGTGAACACTTGATTTTATGCGCACAGGGGAAATGTCACAATAAACTTGACACATCACAGTGGTTAATTACCAAGTTGTAAGTAAATGAACTGAACATATTTTAATTCATTTGAATTTTTATTGTTATTGCCTTGTTTTTCAAGTACAATGATGCACTGGGCTGTAAATAATGTTATTTGCATCGCAGAGTATGTAGAACATAGGCATACACAGATATGTTTGTGTCACTAATATGTGCACAATATTATATTCTTTGAACAATAAAACATACAGTTTTGCTGTTATTATGTTACAGTATATACACACGTATATATATGTAAACGTTACATATGTACATATATGTACATATACATACATATATGCATATATACACACTATATACATTTTTATACAGTGGTACCTCGGGTTACAAACATCCCTGTTTACAAACTTTTCGGGTTATGATCCTGATTTGTTCGGAAAATTTGAATTGGGATACAAACATTGCATCGGGATACGAGTTTGTTGATATGCATACAGCCGACCTAGCGCATGGTGCTAGGTGCCTCGCGACCAGTGATTATCTCGCCTGAATTCTT